TCTCGATCATGTAAAATAGTTCCAGCGGCTGGGATGTCTTTTTGTCGTATTTTGTCAAACTGCGTTACATATGACTACATTGAAATATAGAAAGTGCATGTGAAATACTAATAATTTCAACCTAAACACCACACAAAAATATCGAGTTTTACCCAAATACACGCATACAAATATTTCTATCCAGCTGTGCCTGGATTATTTGTTCAGTCGTATTTTAGTCCCGTTCCTTAAGCATATTCAATTTTGTCTGAGAAGAAAATCTTGCGCCAAAGGTTCATGTTCAATTAAAATTACAGCTGCAGTGTTATAGAAAGGTAATATTTGCCGTAATATGTAATGATTAAGTGCATAAATATATTATGGCCATCAAAAGTCTTTAAACTTGAATTCTTGTGCCTATACTACTAAGTTTAAAGTAAAACAAATACACTCAGGTTGTATTTTTTCGCTGCTGAATAAATTACAATAAAGTTACATGCAAGATATTGAATTTTTTCCCCTAAAATTAGAATATGATCCATGTCTACTGTTCGCACTCCAGCTGACTGGCTACAATAAAGTCAAGCAGGTGTAAATCTTTCACAATTCCCTACCATGAAGAATACTTCTATCGTGCTGGATGTTTTCAAGATTGCGTTATAACCGTATCGACTTACTGAGTTAATTAAAGTTCCGAATCTTTAAAAGCATGATAATTTTTAACACCAAATTTAGCATCATGGCAATATAAATGTAACAGCTGCAATAAAATATCAGTTAATACAAATGTTAGCAGGCTTTTTATTGTCGACCACGAAACGCTTTTCAAACGTTCATGGATATAGTATGTAACAAGGTTTAATTAACAAGATTACAATAGTAGACACCTTATAAAAATAATCAAATTACTGATCGACAATAGGCTAATAAAATTATATTTATTAGGATAATTCGAGTTGGGTACGTGGGGGTCCGTCCAAAAAAATATTGTTAATAAAAACTCAAAACTGTTATTTCAAACTGCGTTATCTTAAACAGATTCAAACTTGCATTCCGTCGAGCCAAACTTAGTACGCTCTACAAATTGGTTAAGACTAAGCCTGACAGTGCAGGTTGAAATCTGGTTTGAGTTGTGCATAATTATATATCAAGCAATATTTCCATGTCAATGATTTTTGTAAAGTACAGCATACAAATAATGAATGTTTATTAGCGCAATGGTGTGGAATAGAAAATTCGATCTTTCACCAAATGAAAATAATTTTATTATTGCAGAAATGAAAACATTCGTTATGAAATATATTGTTCACTGAAGAACATTTCATCCCATCATTTTACCGCCTGAATGATATCACTACATCATTTGCTTTTGTGTCTTTCTTTATTGTGCTCTGCAGGTTTTATCGTCTGATATTTTTATAATAGATTATAATAGATTTATTTTCCTTTTGTAAAGAATAAATATTTTTAACGACCCTGACATCATGCATTGATTAGGATATTGTTATATTGTGTATATATGGTGCAAATGATTGTCTATAAGATTTTTTACCAACAAAAGTTTGATACTAAAATTGAGTTAGTTTTTTTAGTTGTCATTCAAGATATATCATGTTACAGGTTGCTTAGTACTGTACTTCTAGTTTTATGTGAACCTTAAAACATATCAAGGAAGTGGGAAATAGTGATCAAGGTTGCAAAGTACTCTCAGCTGTGCACAGAGGTAACTTTAAACGGCTCAACAAAATCTGAAAATGTTCACCAAAATTTGTTTGCTGGCATTTTTTGTTACAAGCAGACAACTGGCATGTTTTCTTAAATGTTTCTTATGCGTTTATGGCAACAGTGAGTTCGGCTTTATCGGCCGAAAATTTGAGAGTTTTAAAATTATATATGGCCTGTTTTAATTTAAGTACTATTTTGACCAAAAATGCAAATTTTTCAAGTTTATTTTTAACAAAAATAAACTATACCATTAGAAAATTCGCAAAAAGGTGTATATAAGATATTAGAGCGAGTAGTATGATTTTCGTATCTTATTTTGATATTCTGAACGTTAAAAATGTAGAAAATGCGCTAATTTATGCTAAAATTAACTATTTTGCCAAGTTTGAGCTTCTTCAACTCAAACCGACATGAAAATTCGCACTATACTTGCATTATTGTCTTATATACATACTTATTTTCGATCTTTCTAACGGTATAGTTTGTTTTTGTTGAAAGTAAACTTGATAAATAGTCTTCTTTGTTAAACTGATCCCAAATTAGTGGCTGATGCTTTTAACAAATATTTTACTAATATATGACATGATTTAGCTATGCAAATACCGAATGTATATAAATCTCCAATAGATTATATGACATCCCCCTTACCTAATAGTTTTTTGATTGAACCAGAAACTTGTAATGGAATTGAAAATGAAATTTCTGACCTAAAAGTAGGTAAAGCAACAGGATCTTTCAGTATTCCAAAAAAATATTATATCAAAACCTTTCGAATCGATATTAAATTTGTCTTTCTCTCTTGGAATTGTACCTCAAAGCTTTAAATTAGCGAATGTTATTCCAGTTCATAAAAAAGGTTCCATAAGCTCCCTGTATAACTATCGCCCTATTTCTCTTCTTTCAGTATATTTAACAAGCTGCTGGAAAAATTAATGTGTAGTAGATTATTGAACTTTTTGGATAAAAATAACGTATTCTATGATAAACAATTTGGCTTTCGTGCCAAACATTCATCTGCATGATCAAGCAATTTTAAGTATAGTTGATAAGATCCAAACTGCAATTGATAATCGGGATCTTTCTTGTGGGATTTTTTTTAGACTTTAGCAAGGCATTCGACACGGTAAATCATGACATTTTGATTAAAAAGCTAGGTTACTACGGTATCAGAGGTATCGCTAAGAATTGGTTTATATCGTATCTCGGTGATTGACAACAAAGTGTTATTATCAACAATGTAACTTCAGATCCTATGAGTATATCGTGTGGAATTCCCCAGGGTTCTGTTTTGGGACCAATTATGTTTTTACTATATATTAATGATTTCCATCTTTGCTCTACACTCTTTGATTTCCATCTCTTCGCTGATGATGCTAATTTATTCTACTCACATAAAGATATTGATACAATGCAACAAAACATAAATTCTGAATTATCAAATGTACATACATGTCTTTGTTCCAACAAACTCTCCCTTAATATTGAAAAATCTAATTTCATTATTTTCCATCCACCACAAAAAAGCTTTCCTCTGTTGTTATTTTAGAAATGAATGGCAAAGCGTTAACCCAAAAAAATTGTATAAAATATCTTGGTATATTTATTGACTCAAATCTTACTTGGAAACCACATGTCGAGTTCCTTGCTAAAAGGATTAGAAGAAGTATTAGAATTTTATGCAAGATCCGATATTATCTTGACACTAATACCCTTATTCAACTTTATTATGCTCTTATTCATCCTTTTCTTACTTATGGTGTACTAGTTTGGGGAAATACTTATCAAGCTACTTGTCAGCCTATATTTATTCTACAAAAAAGGCGATACGTCTGATAACATTTTCGCGATTTGATGGACATTCGGATCCTTTATTTAAATCACTTAATATTTTAAAACTGTGCGATCTTGTGAGTTTTCACATAGCAATCCTTATGTTTAAATTTCAAAACCAGCTATTGCCTTCAACCTTCCCGATCAATCAATTACATAACTATAACACACGATCGGCAATGAAGCAATAAGGAGAGTAAATTTGAATTATGAAAAATTTAATATTAGATTTTAAGGAGCAGATATATGGAATTCTCTTGATGAATCTATAAAATCTGCAACTCTAAATCACTTTAAAAAGAAACTTAAAGCAAAACTGAAGGGAATTATTAGTTTTTGTACTTTATCTTTCTGCTTGCGTATTACTGAGTTTTCATACAATTATTTGTTATGTGTATGTTTATATACCCATCATCATTATTATGGTAGAAATTCTCTATTATGATTGTTATACTCATTTGTCAAGCTAGCCATAAATGTGAGAATTATTTAATATCTATTATTGCAATGGCTCCTTGACTCGTTTAGCTTTTCAGTTATTTCAGGGAGCCAGTACCTTTCAAACTTACCTGTATTACATGTAGTATTTAAATATTGTAGCCTAATTATGATGGATACTGAATAAATTTGTTGTTGTTGTTAAGAAAATTTCAGTTGACAGCTTTTAACAAAAAATTCAATCGAAGTGCGACTTTCGGAAAATTGACCAGTCGTCTATACTGGTTTATTCATCATCCAGGGAGTATGCTTCTGAATTGACTGGAAGGACGCCAATCGAATTAAGTTCCAAAATACTTTTTTAAAAATCCGTTAAAACCGCATCAACGTAGCCAGCATGCATTCCCATGCAGACTCCCAAGGGACGTAAGACTCCTGTTGTCTGAGAGTGGCCGCGGGCTAACAACAACGCTGTTGAATTCAAAACGAAAATCCTAATTATATTTTAAATTTTCTTTGTAGAAACTAAATCCCAAAAAAATCCTTGAACGGGGGCGTATCTGCACAAAATTTAGCAATACATGGATTTAAGATAAAAATATGAGTAAATTTAAGTGTTAAACAAAACCATCTAAATAGGATTGCATAACTGAAGTTAAAAAATTATTATAGCTTTGAACAATACACCCAGGTTGTATTTTTCGATACTGAAAAAAAAAGATTTTGAAATTTTTAACCTAAAATTAGAATATGATCCATGGCTGCTGAATTGCACTCAAGCCGACTGACTACAATAAAGTCAAGCAGGTGTAATTCTTTAACAATTCTCCACCATGCAGAATACTTCTATCGTGCCGGGTTGTTAGTCATATTTTAACAATTGCGTAAAATGTGACTGCATTGAAGTAAAACAGGTGTAACTAATACAATTCTAAACCCTGAAAATATTTCTATCATGCTGGGCGGACATTTATTTGTTGAGACAGTATAAAATCTGTGAGCTTCATATATATTTTCATCCGAAGAAAAGGAAAGTAGAAGAAGAAGAGGGCAGTTTCGTTTGAGAAGAAGACGATATTGCGCCAAAGGTTCAAGGTCAAGATTACATATAGTATTTACAAAGGTAACATTTAGTTTCTGTAATACTAGAAGATACATGCATGCAGAATCTCTCACCTTGCTAACAAAACCATAATATTTAACGAACATAAAGTTTTTGAAAGTAGTCATCATGGTTACAGTTTATTAAGAATATTTTAAAAATTGAAACATTTGTAATTGCTTTTTAGAAAAACATATTCACGATATTTGTGTTATACAGAAGTTCGTTTTCAAATCTATCTGCTGCAATATTTTCTCGGTAAACCAGATTTTCATACACCATATACTTCTTTTCTTGTCTGGAGATTATTCCTTTTTTCTTTTTTCTTTGTTTTCTCGACACTTCAAAAAACTTCCCTTTTTCTTGGATTTGGGTTCAATTCAATAACGCAGTAGCGAAGATAATTAGGAATGTAGTTGTCTGTAGGTCTACTATAACAAAGACTTTCGAACTACCTCCGCCAACATTTATTTCAGTTAAATAAAAAGTGTAGGGTGCATGTGAGTAAGCCGCAGAACTTTAAGTACGCGGATTCCTAGCGCTAAAATAAAACAAAATTCTGGTTTAACAAAACTTATATTATTAATTGTTGTTTTCTCTTCCAAACAGTTGAAAATTCTGAATTCACCCCAAAACGTTACTGTGGGCTTTTCTATTGACAAATAATATAATTGAACCTATATAATATAATATCTTTACTTTGAAGTTATCGATTCAATTCTTTGTTTAGGATTAGAAAGCATTGAGCATGGGACACGGAATTACAATCTTCTTGGTTGCGTTCCTATTTGTGTTGATGGGGAGTGTGCTATCTGCACCCAAAGTAAGTACGAATCGATACATAGCTACTATTGTTGTTGCATGCTCCTCTCCTAACAGTACCGTTAGTTAAATATCCGATTTATTCTTTATTCTGCTTGGTTATACGCCCCTCATAGAACCTGTGTCTAATATCACAGGTTTAACAGCAAAATTATACCCTGGTCTTAACAACAAAATTACCCTGCATGGTCTTAACCTATCACCATTCAAATTAGAGGCTGATGTGATTAAAAAGGGTTTTCCTTATCTTGAAAAACGACCATTAAACATCTTCCATTTTCTCTACACTTTTCTCGATATAATCATATGATCTATGCTCTCGATATAATCATATGATATGATCCTTGCGCGATATAAGCATTAAATTATTATTATTATTATTATTATTATTATTATTATTACAATCTTAGACCAATTAGTGGATCAAAAGATTTCACCACGCTTTACAAAAATGAAATAACAACGAAACTAACAAATATATCTATTTAAATCTCATAGGAACAAATGTCATCTTGGGCGGGAGATGAACACGAGTTGATTGGAAACAAGATTAATTATCCAAGTAAACCTGGAATATACACCAGGTTAATACTGCCAAATGGAATTCAACTTTCGTTTGGTCAAATGTTAGCGTTAGCTGGGGATTTTTTTGCTCTAACTAATGCATCTATCATCGCAGTTCATGGTAAAGAAGAAGCAGCACGCAATCCCAGGGTTGGAGAGTACCCATATAAGCCTAATGTAGTCGGGGTCAAGATCGAAAATAAAAAAAAACGGCCTAAAGAAGCAAACAAGTTCGGAAAAGAAAAAAGGTATAATGAGCTCATGATCGAAAAAGTGCCTTATGAAGTATTCAAGACCGGAACTGTTAAAGTAACGCCAGGAGAACGCGAAAGGTTCATGGCAGCTTATAACACACTCGCTGGTGTACCACGTAATACGATTCAGGAACAAGTGACCACGCTTATAAGAATGATAGGGGAAGACCTGATCGTAAGGGAATATCACAACGGTACACTTCATACCAATATTGAATATGCAAATGCCACTAATGGTAGATATTTAATACTGGCATCGATAAATTTCGACCATTTTCAGCCGCAAGCGCCGAAAGCCTACGTCGTTGGTCATCAGTTGGCGATGGAAAAAGCTCGAGAGGCAGCAAAGGAAAAAGATCCCGACATGAAGAGGAAAATGTTGAACGAGTCTCTCTCTCTAGATGCTTTTGCTTGTCACTTTCTCACTGATAGTTTCGCGAGCGGTCATATGAGGTATGAGCTATATTTAATATACAAATTGCTACTGTCGTCCACATAAACTTGTCAGCCATATATCTTAAAGCCATGTTTTGCGGCCTTAAATCCGTTCGGAATGGTGGCTTCAAAAACTCCAAATACCATAAGTTTTGACTTGTCTTTGCATTTTATTCGTTGTAAGGATAATTTAAACACCTCTTAAAAGGGGTGGGGGGGGGGGGCGAGAGGGAGGTTCTAAATCCCATTCTCCAGCCATATTTTCTTCCACATGCCAGCTTCAACTGTAAACCTAAAAGAATATTTCTTAGCAGGTTTGACTTACGTGTTGACTTTTAAACCCATTATTTTGCTTTCAAGTTAGTTCTCTTTAGAAATAACTGCACGTGTAAAATTTTTAAAGTGTACAAAAACCTGTCATTTTCTGGCGTATACCAGACATACTAAGGAAATCACGGGCTCGCAATAAAAGTGGCGTCGAGTTGGAAATGGACAGAATACAGTCTTACAGGACATTTCGTCATCAAAAAATGCGTATATCTCCGTTAAGCTATTTAAACTTTATCACACTATGACTGTCTTTTAGTGGTATTATGGGTTTTCCATTTCCATATTTGTGCATGTCGTTCCACAGTCCCAGTAACCCTCATTGCATTTTCGCACTTCAAAAATAGGTAAATCCCAGTTCCCATTTTACCACTTTAATCTTAAGCCGTGTGTTTTTGGCCCTTCGACCGCCGTTGTCGCAACGGCGGTCTCGGGTCCACAAAACACACTGTTTACCTCGGTCTCAGTAAATAAGTGATAATTGTACTGTGGAGTTGACGACCAAACCACAATGTTATCCAGTTGGAAGAATAAGAAACCATAGCTTTTTTCCAAAAATGTTTCTCTTTTTCCCCAGTCATGATGACAGGATTTGGACTCACATTACACAGGCAATGGGCCACGTGATTCGGATAGAGCTACTTATTATTTTTCATCACTAGACTACAGCCAGCCATTTTCATCCGTTATGTTCTTCGTTCCCGAAGATTAACAAAGTAACTAAGTTGTAACAAGGTTTTTGAACATGCAAGCCTGACGTCATTTTAGAATACATTATTATTAAATTTGAGCTGCAGGGTATAGTGTGAGTAACGAAAAGATTGGAATAATGTTGGTAAACTAAATTCGCACTATCAAGTCTCTGCTGCTGCTCGCGAGGTTTTACTCAAAAACGTTGACCCCATTAATTACAAGGCTGATTGAGTCATCTCAGAAAACATCCATAACTCCACTACAAAATAAAATTGAAGGTTAACTTCCCCCTCCTTTCCTCCACCCTCCCTTGTACAACAGGACAGGAGATAGTTTGTCCATTGATTCGATTCGTCGGATCCGTCCATTAGGCTCAAATAGTGCGTGTATAGCCGTGCGCCACAAAAAAAACGTAGAAACAAGGCGTGGCTCAATTAAGTCACACTATATGTATATTCCTTTTTCTCCAATCCAAACGCGGTAATATGTATGTAATATGCGAATTCTTTGTTCTCCTTAAAATCCTTTAATAAACAACGAAAAATATCCATAACATGCGTCGTTCAAATATTAATTCGAGAAATAAACGTCTAACACTATAAGCATACTTTTATAAACAATTCACGTTTAATTTGAAGCATGTTTGAATAGGTTGAGTATTAAGTGATAATAAATTTACTTGCATGTTCAAAATTTTTTCTAGCTTTATATTTTTTTTTGCTATATGGGAATAAGAATTAACTTGCGACACATTATACGCTAAATGAATGTCACATACAGTAACATTGTACTTTTCAAATATCTTCTATGTATATTGCTATTAGTATTCCGTATTTTCGTTACATACACCACACAAAATCCTCGAGCAAAATGGCTCAATCGGTAAGGCTATATACTAGAATAGGCCTACTCTGGGGCGGTAAATCGCCTTAAATCGCCGTGATATAATGCGATTTTGGGCGATTTTAGGCGATTTCAGGAAAAACTGGGAGTTTCAAGCACTGCGATTTAGTGCGATTTTAGGCGATTTAAGGGAAAATTCTAAATTTTAGGGATTGCAATTTAGGTGTTTTCAAGGTAATTGAATTTTATATTTGCTCCGGTTTCCTCCCACAGGGCAAAATTGGCAGGGTGGGTTAGAATAAACAAAGCTGGAAAAGTAATATCATATTCTTATTATATTGTTGTAAAGATAAATAGTCTAGACTAACATAAGTAATCATAATACTTGATGTAATCGGTGACTGAAATGCCCCAATGGGGAGTGAGCTGAATAATGCAATGTTTCCACACACATATGCATTGTATGAAGCAAAATACAATTATATTAGAACATGTATGTACATTTTGTATAAAGCTAGGTTTAATAATTATTGTATTTAACCCGAATCATATATAAAGCTCAATATTCATGAACATTTCGTCCATTGTCTATTTAGAAGCCATTGGAATTCATCCTGTGGGGTCATGTGGTCATTCATGACTACATTATATACCACAAATATTGCAAACAGTTAATAAATATACTCTACTTAAGGGCCAGGTACGGTACATAATTGCAAAATGCCAACCTATAACTAAACTACACATGTCTTAGGCTAAACTTTATATTATTAATTGCAAAATATAATAGATATTTGATTTCCAAAAGAATCACAGCCCAGAGGGAGTAGAAACGCACAATGTATTTATACAGTTACAATAAGCTATAATCCTATAAATTACCTTGTCACCCTTGTAAGTGAAATTGTCTTGTTTTGTATCTTGTCAACACTTCTTTATTTAGCTTGCATTTATTTATTTAAACATTTTATTTAAACTGTTTCAACAAACATGTTTTATAAAATTATGTTTGATATCTATATCCAGATGCAGTATTGTCACGCATTCGGAAACTGTCGGCGTAATGCCGTAAAGTTTAACTTACATGAAGTATATCGCATATAAATGGTAGGAATTCTGAATTATTTTAAAAAATTACTAAACAAAATGATATTAAACAAATGGCGCGCACTACATCTTGATTTTAAGTCTTCTGTCTGGTTTTAAGTGTTCTGCAAACAAACAGCAACAAATATTGTATGGTATGTACGATGTAATAATTGTTTTACTGTTTATTTTATATGCAGGTCTGGAAAATTTAATAGATGAGAATTGCAAAACTTGCAAATCTCGCTCATATAACCATGTTTTTCGTTTGATAGCCAATATAATTACAACTAGGAGCTAGAGTATAACCATGCGCATGTCGAGGTACAACCATTGTATACAATGCAGTGCTCGATCTACGTGTAACAGTGCACAAATTGCAGGATGACCTCATTATATACTCGTACTCATTGACTCTCATTATCATAGTCTCCTACTGTTGTTAAGTTTTAACAGCAATTAGGCTTTGAGAAGCCATGTATATTATAGACTAATTTGTAGCCCAGCCCCTATAGTCCGTATAAATAAATTGTAGCCCAGCCTCCACATTGTAGAGTCTGCATAGGCTCTGTTTTTATTAATGACCGGAGCCTATTGAGTGACTAAATATTGTCAGCCTATTCCACTTATTTGATTTATCCATGTTGCATTACTTTTTATAGCAAAACACCTGGATTATACATGATTTGCCAGCAAAATAGCAGCAATTGATAAACTTGAGTAAATAGACTGAATGTATCAAACAGAATGCATGTTAATACGATTTTAAGCATGGGCGTACAGGAAGGAAAAAATTAGTGGGGTGGAAAGAAATTTGGCAGATTTTTTCGGATTATGCACACGTTGTTAAAAAGGGGAGAAGTGATTACGAAAAATTCTTATTACATAGCATATTTCCCACAAAATTGACAGAATTCCCCACAAAATTGACAGAATTTGTCCCATT